GTTGTTCTTGCTGTCCTTTGCAGACTATCCACTTACCCCGCCCTCCCAAAATCTCCTTAAGAGTCCTGTTTAACAAAAAAACATCCCATTACATTCAAACCCCAAACCCCAGTTTTGCAGCATCCCCACTTCTAAAAATCCCATAATGCAAAGAAACAACACACTGGTGTGGAACTAAAAAAAGTTCCCCATCCTCCTGCTCCGGAGGTTTTGGCAAACATTAGGGTGGCACGTAAGGGGGTGGCGATCTGTAGGGGGTCATGTTCTTGGGGCGGGATCCTTTCCCCTCCATAGGGGTGGAGAAGGGTGGTGGTGGCTGATAGGGAGGGGCATTGGGATCCTCATCATGTAGAGGTGTGTACTCTCCCAAAAGGTCCTGGTTCAGAGGTGTTGTCTCTGGAGTAGCCATGTTGGGATACTCCGGCGGAGGAAGCGGAGGCTTCTCCTCCTGAAGGATAAGGGGCATGCTGGAAGATGGGGGAGGCTTAGAGTCATCGAGCTCATCTGCAAAAATGATGGGCACTCCTTTCTTGATGAAAGTTGCTTGGTCTTCGATTGTTAGCTTGCCCTTGCGCTTCTTGCGGTAGCAAATCATGGCGATGATTCCAGCTATCAGCAAAATGGCTGCAACCACCACCGCTGGTATGACAGTGTGAAGATACACATCATCAGTGCTCTGTCTTCCCGCACCCACAGCGGGAGTACCAGGAGAGGGGGTCGGATCTGGGATCTCACCCAACGGGACAAACATGTAGTTACGACAGCTTGCTGTGCCTCTGACGGTGATATTTGAGGGCCTGAAGTCTGGTTCCATGGTAAATTTGAAAATCGACGAGGGTTTGCCCTCTGGATCGGAGATTTTTTTGCTCAATTGCTGTATTTGGTCTTTTGGGCAGGGGCTTTGCTGAAGGCTGTTGTTGGTCCATTCCACTATGATGGAACCCTTGGTGATGCTCTTGAGTGTAATGGTGCTGCTGTTGCGATCACCAAAAGACTGGGACAGTTTCTTGACGAGAAGGATCTTCTTGTGAATGTCATTGGTGACCGTACGCGCATCTCCATCAAACACAGCAGTAAATAATACAGGTGGCTTAACACTGTTTCCCCACATGCTGACACGGACCTCAAAGGCATCCATTGCATAGAGACCTCCTTTATCAGTTGCTTGCATGAAATACTCATGTTTCCCTGCATGCTCTTGGTCAGGTAATCCATACAGTAACTGGCTTGTGCTATTAAACTGTATCCAGGAATCATCCGCGACCACATCATTGCCCTTGCGCAAAGTGAGCCTCAACTTATCGGTAGTTCCATCCTCTTTGTCAAAAAATGTATCCGATGGAACCTTCACCTCAAAATAGGTGCCAACATAGGCATTCACCTGATCAATTGGGTTACGCAGCTCAGGTTTTATATTGCTATCGCCTATAACTGCAGGAGTGCTGCGCCTTGGTGGCTTGGTTGTCGTGGTCTTGGGTTCTCTTGGTATGGGCGTTGTCTTGGGTTTCTTTGGAGGTCTCTTTGTAGGTTTCCTGGTGGTAGGTGTTGCTGGGGTAACAGAGGCTCCAACATACACAGGCCTGGTCATTGTTGGCTGGATGGCGATAGTGCTGGTGGTGACCATTACTCGTGTTGGCAGAGGGGGGCCTAAGGTTGGAGTGGAGGGCGCGGAATCCCTGTTTCGAATGGTGGGTTTCACAGGAAGGGGCACGGGACCACGGACAGGTGGGGCAGAACTCTCTGAGGTAGGAGCAATAGATGGAGAGGTTGGAGTTGGAACGATGCGGATCGGGGGCTCAGGGTAAGTTGTAGGAGGGAGTAATGAGGGAATGGGAGTGGGGGTGTTGTTGAGCTGCCTTCGCACCCTTTTGGGCACATGGGGCTTTTTATTAGCAATATGCCATCCAACAACCGGATATCCCAACTGCGCTGACATTGTCCCCTCTTTTGCTGGAACCTGAACACTGCTAATGTCAGGAATGCTGCTTTGATCCAGACTGCAGCCGAGCTTCCAGGACAAAAGAGCTCCGTTTTCAACCACTTTCTTGGCATTTCCTGGTCCTGCCATGAAAGCAGACATGTCAAACAAGCGGTTGTTGACCACAGGCAAAATCTTCATGTGCTGGAGCCCCATGCCAGAAAACTTTTTCATTTTGGCAAGTAGTTCCACCCTCTGCTTCGAGCTCATCTTTGTGAGGTCAGCGTCAAGGATGACAGTGAGCACAGTAACAGGCTCCTCATTGCCACAGATGAAAGGCTGGGCATCGTTGCTTGCTGATTGCTGGATTGCAAGCTGAAAAGGGTCCGTCTCAGCGTGCTCCTCTGGGTGCACCTCAATGGAGAACACATCTGGGCTTTGGGAGACTTTACTCTCGTTGGAAACTGAAACAGATATGTAGTGAACGCCCTTGTCCGTCTCTAGTGGAAGGCCTTGAAGTGTGCCGCTCTCTGCATCCCAATGCAACCACGCTGGGAGCACATCCTTGCTTGCTTCTGTGATCTGTAAAAACGAGAGAAGAAATAACGATTACTGCAACCGAGTGGCTCGCGTTAGAAATTTAACAAGACAAACGAGCTAACAGCGATGCCAGATATGCACTGCCAAGTCAAACACTTTAAACCTGCAAGTAAATCTCACTTTGTAACGTGACTAATAGCCAATCACATGAATCAAAGTTGTCTTTCTCAAATGATACATCATTTTTAGTTTTTGTATTCAGTCTTTCCTGGTTGTGAGTGCAAATTCAGTATATTTAAATTCAGCAAGACAGGAGGGGTGAAGATTATAATGAACGAGTGCTCTCACAGTGGCAAAGAGCTCCCTGCGGCATGAGATACTCCACCAGCTGGAGAGCCGCTCAATGAACGCTCAAGTCAAAAATAACCAATAAATGAATCAATGGCATTGAGAAGATCTATTAACACAAACAAGCCTCTTTGCAAATACAAAAAATACATCCTTTGCTTCCATCCTCTTAACGTGATTGATAATAATCTGGGTTCATACATTATTTAGAGCCAGTGCTCAGGGGTTGGGTCATTAAAACTCAAACCAGTACACAACAGTCACTAAGCGAGCGAGGGCACTAGCAGCTGGGCTTTTCATTTCAGTTCACAAGCTTCAAAGGTTTAAACACGCAAATCCACCAGCACCGCACTCTCTACCTTTCACAGTCTTGTTTTTTGAGTGTTGCCATCAACCAACCTAGCTCGTGTGTGCGAGCCTGATTGTGAACCTGTTTGATCACTTAAGAGAGACATTAATAATTCAGGTGGGAGTCTAATTATAGGCTGATCTATAGTCTTGTTGATTGATGGCGTGCTTGGAACATTACTGCCGCACTTCAAATAGTATGTGGGTTGCTTGGATCAGTTGCATTTTGAGGATTTAGAGCAGGGGTCTCCGAACTTGTTGCTGGAAATCCTGCAGATTTTAGCTCCAACCCTAAATCAAACTAACCTAAACAAGCTAATTAATAGGGGTGTCACGATTTCGATGTTTAATCAAAATCGATTGAAATTTATGCTCAATTTCGATTATCGAATAAAAAAATAGAATCGTCGATGCTGCCACGCCCCCATGTCACGTCAGCTTGGCTTGCCAAACGGGAAAAAACAGGCTTGTTGAACTGCAAATACAGGAGACCCTTCGACAGAGCTTAAACCCTCTCCTCTTTCAATGAAGTCGCCGGTGTGTAAGCATTTTGGATTTCCAGTGAGTTATGTTGACAACGTTCGTGTTGTCGACAAAAAAAACACAGTTTTGCAAGCTCTGCTATGTACGTATTAGGGTTTGTCCGATAGACAACACCGTCATCGCGATCCTGCGCCCGACCCCGTTGCAAATCCGCTTGCGAAAAGTACACACTCAGGCCCTGTTTACACTGTCTTTGTTTTTAAATGGCATTTTAGAACGACAACGATTTGAAATCCACAGTGGCGTGTAGCATTTCTGAGCAGCCCTCCTTCCTCTCTACCTCTGACACACACAGACACAGACGCACTCACAGCCATGGGCTCGAGACAGCGGGTTCCGGCAGTCAGAGGATCAGTAGACTGCTTCAATCTTTCACTCACTTGTACTTGGTCATTTTAGCGCACACCTCAGATACTGTTGGCTGGTTCCTGTTGGTTGTGCACCTTTTTTTACCGACGCCATTATAACGACACAGATCACTGCCTATTCACGAGTCCCGCAGAAAAAGTGATTGACAGGTGGTAATTATGTGTGTATCTTGCCTTTATTCATTTACTGTATGATTTGTTAATGGTTAAAACAAAGACCATCCAGGTCAGGTAGTTTAAACGGTAGGCTACAAATAATTAATTGGTCATTAATTAATTAATTATTCATAATCGAAAATCGAATCGAATCGTGCCTTTAGAATCGAAAATGTAATCGAATCGAGGATTTAGAGGATCGTGACACCCTTACTAATTAAAGTCTTACTAGGTATACTCTAAACACCGAGGCAGGTGTGTTGAGGCATGTTGGAGCTAAACCCTGCAGGGACACCGGTCCTCCAGGACCAAGATTGGGGACCCCTGATTTAGAGGGTTGCCGCATACAATAATGACAATTTTTCTTCTCAGCTGCAGCTCTCAAATCTCATTTGCTTCCATGTAGATTTAAATATGGAGCCTTAAGAAGGGCCATAACCCATAAAGCGAAACAGCAATTTTACAGCATGGACTGTTTTTACAGACTAACCTCAAATTAATATCTTGATGTCAAACCATGTTTCTTTAATTAATAATAATTCGTTACATTTATATAGCGCTTTTCTGGGCACTCAAAGCGCTTTACACAATGGGGGGGGGGGAATCTGCTCATTCACCACCAGTGTGCAGCATCCACCTGGATGACGCGACGGCAGCCATTTAGCGCCAGACCGCACACCACACACCAGCTGATTGGTGGAGAGGAGACAGATTGATGAAGCCAATTATGATATGGGGAGGGTTAGGAGGCCATGATGGACAGAGGCCAGTGGGCAGATTTTGGCCAGGATGCCGGGGTTAAACCCCTACTCTTTTTCGAAGGACATCCTGGGATTTTTAACAACCACAGAGAGTCGGGACCTCAGTTTAACGTCTCATCCGAAAGACGGAATGAGACGGAATGACGGAATGAGATCATATGCTGTGATTTACAAATTCTCAAAACAAACTAGATATGGGTGAACTACCCCTTTAAAAATGAATAAACTAGGCACAGCTATCAATTACAGATTGTGTCAAACTACGATCGATTCTGGAATCATCCTTCAATTAGTGAATTGATTCGACAGCCACTGAATCTATACTTTCATTTCACCTCATCATGTGTAAAAACACAGCAGCAGCATCTAACGGAAATACAGAACTGGCAAAAATACCTCACGCACGCTGTTAAATATAGTCAAATTTATACCACCCCTGCAAAAAAATATGGCACAGATGGCATGTGTCTACTTTTGGTGCCTTTTCAGACCTTGATTTAGAGCAAAACGGAAGTTTAAGGCAAGTCTTCAATGCCGCCTTCTGAAACTAGAGCATCAGTGGCAGCACACACACTGACATTTAGGGAACCACATAGTTTCCATAGTGATGATTCATGCAACCCACACTAAAGACAGTATAAGTTCTGCCAAAGGCATGTTTCTCTTGACTTAAGCGAGGCAAGCAAGGAAAGGCAGAAATGAGTGCAGAGAGAATGTCAATAACAAGAATATTACAGAGTTGTTTTTTTCTTTCATATTTCAATTGCTGCGGCAAGTCTGTTGGGATGATTCTGAATGGCACAAGTGGAACTGCAAAGCAAAGAGACAGATTTCTTGTGAAAAAGAGGGATGGGGGGAGGTAATTATAATAATTCCAGGGCCATAAACATGGGGGAAATAAGGGACCTAAAATTGTAATAGTCACTATTTACTTACTCTCACGTTGTTTAGAGATGGTTAAAATTTAAAGGGCACCTATGGTAAAAAATCTACTTTTCAAGCTGTTTGGACAGATCTGTGTGTTGGTATAGTGTATAGACCGTCATACTGTGGTGATATGAACACACCCAGTCCTTTTTTTTTCAATTTAAATACAAAAAAAAGGGTCGGCCAATTGGAGCTGTTTTCAAATTGATCGCACCATTACGTAGGTGTGCGATCCCCCCGCCCACCGAATTGATTGACAGCTGCGCGCATTAACATGTTCCAGTAGTCGCGTGTATATGTCAAAAGACCAGACAGACATACGCAAAGCAACCGGGAATAAAAGGTCTGTTCTGTTCGCTAGGATCAGCAATCATCCTCAAATGTGATTAAGAGTAAGTTTCACATGTTTAAAGTGTTTTAAAACAGAGTATGTGTGTAATTAATTACAGCGTTTTACTTCAGCTTTACTTCATCAGCACAGCCGCGTGTCAGAACAATTATAAAAGAAGACGCTTCAATCCCGGTTTGTGGAAGTTAAATCAGGTTTATTTTGTACATTAGCATAACAGATATCCACACAGTATTTGAGGTTAGCCTTAACTAAGCTAAGCGCGCTCTGTCTGTCTGCCTGCCTGCCTGCCTGCGTGCGTGCGTATCTATGTGTGTGTGTGTGTGTGTGTGTATATGTGTGTGTTAACTTTGTAACGATATTGTGTTACTCATCAATGCAACTTCACAATACTGATTAGTAAAGGTTAGTTCTTACTGTAGTATCTCACAAACGCTACGTGAGACCTTCTTCCTTTAAGTCTGTCTGTTGTCTGACGCAGCTGAGGGAGGAGGCATGTAGAAACAGTGGGCGGGCAGAAATCGGCTTAAAGGCGCAGTACGACAAAACCACCCCCTGCTGGAAATCAGTATAAAACAGCATCTTGTAAAAGGTATAATGCAAAATCTGATGGGTATTTTGATCTGAAACTTTATATACACATTCTAGAGACGCAAAAGACTTATATTAAATCTGAAAAAAGGGGTAACCTAGGTGCCCTTTAAAATGGTTAAATTTTCATATCAAGATTAAGTGACCAAAATTATCACGATTTCCTTAAAATTAAATTGGAATGTAAAAAAATAAAAAATAAAAAATTACACACACTAATGGCTTGTTTCCACTGACTGGTACAGTATGGTACAGTTCACCTTCATCAGGCTTGCGTTTCCATTACGTGGTGTATGACAAAAAAAAGTTTCAGTCAATGTCCTTTTCGCTCGAGAAAATGTCTACTGTAAAGCTGTACGGGTCGTTCACATATCATATGAGAAGCACTTTACACAAAAAAGATGCTTTATACATGTAAATACTTGTATATAAATGTTTATTACTAACTTTTCTATGAACAGCTTTTTTTTCGCGCTTCACTCTCGCGTTTTTCAGTTTTGACAGGATCGAGTTTCAAAAGCACGTCAATAATCAAGTGCACGTTATTATCATCAGCTCAAGAAGTTTGTTATTTCAGATATTGATGCACGGCGAGCGCAACTAAGAAAACGAAACCACTTGCACTTTAGATTGGCTCGTAAAAAACTATGG